CCCCAAAACCCCAAAACCCCAAAACCCCATTGAAAAGAATAATTTAAAAATTAGCAAAATTGTTAATTAATGCAGTTTAATTGAATTAAAAGTGAAATTTTAGTTAATTATTCAAATTAAATAATGGTGATAAACCTTATTTTAGCGCTCTTATTTGCCGCTACTTTTCAAATGCTAGCAGTTGCAAAGAACTTTAGCATTGAATTCAGAACTGACTGGTGCAAAAAATCTTCAATCTACTAAAAGCTTGATACTATATATTAGGAATCATAATAAGAATATTCAAGGGTTATTCAGGATATCTAATAGCTTTAGCTTCTTTTAAATAATAAAGGATAGCTATTACCTAATGATAATATTATCGCATAATTGGAATATGTACACCAAATAGAAAGATAAGAAGCTTAAAGATATGCAGTCGACTAGTATACTAACATTTTAATGTGGAAGAAGGCTATAAATACTTAGCAAAACTTAGTATCTCGTGTTATAGTCTATGATTTGGATGGACATAGATATCAAGTTGATTTAAGCTAATAGAATAAAAAAAGTTTGATTATGTAATAGGAGCTTAATCTAAAAAAGGATAAGATCTATTATAAAAATCTAACCAGTACAGAGATCTTATTTGTTTACTTGGACATTCAAATGTGTTTAAGAAAACCGGATATATGTTAGGAGATACTTAATTAATTGAGTACATAAAATATTGTCGTCAGGTATAAATTTTCAGAATGTGATTAGACTAATTAAGAATATACTCCCAAGGAGATGCTCACAGGAATAGGATTAAAAATCATGGTATCTGATTACTACTTTCATGTTGCTAATAATCCAGAATATTTAAAAAGATGGCTGCTAAGAACAAAAGATTTTGATACTTTCGTGGATATTTTGTAAAACCATAATAAAGTGAGTAATAAGGGTTAGCTAGAAGTGTTTGAAGGTGAAAATCCTCAGTTGCAATGGGATATTTAATAGTCACTTTCAAGATAGCAATTCATTATAATTGGATACAAATTGATCAGATTAGACTAATCAACTTCAGATCCTCATTATCTTGATAAAGAAATCAGGACAGCTTACAATAATACTTTGAGATTGAGGGAACTCACCTCAGATCCTCAAGCCTTATTCTAAAATATTATTCGGTACAAATTTTCGAATAAGCTTACTTAATATCATCCTTCTAATAGGCTATTAAAAGACATTGAGAAATTTATGATAAATAGAGACCCTAATGATTTAGAAAAGATTAATGAATTTTTATTGATAGTAGAATAATAGGGCCATATAAAAGAATTTGAAAGCATGAGAATTAGTCTATCACAATAGAAGTCCTATTAAATAGGATTATACAATATTGGCCATTGCTTAACTTCCAATATTTAAGATAATTAAATTGAATAAGATAATTAAAATAGTATAAATGAGTGTCCAAAACTATCTCGAGAGAATGATGTCAAAAATGCTTATTAGAGAAAATAATAGCTTTGCTTTAAGCATGGATTATGCTCATTTCCATTCTTATATGTAAATGGTTTCATCATAGACTATGCTATATCTCAAAATGCTATTAAAAATCCTAAAACATACCTTTAAGAAATTTTAAAACTAACATAAAAAAGGTAAATCATACAAAATTAGGAAAAATAAGACAAAATAACAAAGCTTAAACATTTTATCCCTCTAGTAGATAATCATATCTCAATCAGGAATGAAATAACTGTAATTAGACCTGCAGGCAAAAACTATTACAATGACCTTTAAATTAACTCTGATTCAAATGTATTAATATAGTATTTGACCCAGGATGATTAAGTATCTCAGAGATTTTAAAATGTTATTACAAGTTACAATCAGTTAGATTACTTACAAGCGGTTGCAGTAAGAATCAATGGTTTAAATGATTTCGAATTAAAAGGGTCTATACCTTTAGGAAAGTAGATTTATGTCTTCCTAAATGGTCTTTTGCTTAACTCTATCGATGATGATAGTATTGATGAATTCAAAATATTTGACTACATTAGGATAGAGAACGCTAAAATCAACAAAGTTTTGAAGAATATGGGAAGAAAAGTAAAGGGAAGCATTTGCTAGTTAATGACTGAGATTAACTTTATGAATATACTTTAAGAAAATGATGAGTAGTTATTGTCAGAATATGATAGACTTAAAGGTTAACCATTCTAGCACTAATTCATCAATAGTGAAACAGATGAAAATCCTATAAATATCTATGCAAAATTAAGTTTCCTTTCTCTAGAGTCAGTTGCATTTATAACCTATATTCATCAAAGCAGGCATATGTATAACTTCTAACTTGATTTACACGCCCTTTACTAAAACTTCGATTTCAGAAAAATGAGCGACTATCCATACCACAATTATCACCTAATAATCAACGAACCCTTAAAGCAAGTTATAAAGATTAAAGATATAGAATCTCCTTATCCGTAATTGCAGTTCCACTTATAGCAGACTTAAGGTGTAAACTTCATAGTGGATGAGTTATCTCACTTTAACTCATATTTTACAAACAATACCAATCCACATCCTGTAATTGGGTTCAATTTTACTCTAGAATTCAACATTGTGTACTTCAGAGATCTATTATAAGAAGATGAAGAAGTTCTAGTTGCTTTTAGATTAAAGTAAACTCAACAGATAGTCAAAATTCTATAATCTCCAATAAAGTCTGAGGAATTTAGTACAGTTGTTTAGGATAACCGTTAGAAATTTATCCTGCACGATTACTCAAACATCTATAGAAAGAAACCCAGAATAATGAGGGACTACTATATTTTAATTACTCCTACTCTTGGGAGATTCTTCTTGACAAGGGAAGATACTAATGACACAGAAATCATAAATATTGATTCCCTTCATTTTGAATTATCGTCAAACAATGTGATATTTGAAGATAGACAGGTTACTTCACAAATCTAATCTACAGATTAACAATAAATGTTGCAATATTATCCTCTAAGAGAAGAATTTTAATTCCTGGTAGAGCAAGAATAAGTCAGCTCTTAAAGAAAAGATGACACTATTCATCTGTATTACCAAGTATCAGGTAGTGAGTATGAAACTGTCCTGCTATATCAAATATACTAGATAATTGTCAATGATCCATCTTAGAACTTCAAAATTCATGTTATCGAAAACCTATTTATCAGTCCATTCTTTAGAGAGAGTCTCATTAAGCTTGCAAATGAACTAGATTTTGACTACTCATTTTTCACATTCGAATGGCCTTGGAGTATAATCTTTAGACCAAGATTAATTTATCAAGAGAATGTAATTTTTAGAATACTTTTCTCAGATTAAATGTTTGACCATAAAATAAAGAGGATAATATATAAAGATGCCGATTAATGCTTAAATCCAGGGGCTGACTTTCAAGAATTAAGAGATTTTGATTTACAAGAAAGTCCATTAGGAATGGCTAAGCATGGCCAAGATAGCCTTCATAAATATTTAATGATAAGAAGTTAAGAATTAAGCTAATATAATCCTTAGCTAGTGAATCAAACTACCTATCATTGTGGTGGAATTATCGTCAAAGATTTAAGAAGACTTAATGATTTTGATCATCTGGAGCAGGTTAGACACTACTACAATAATAGTCTTCGAGATGGTTTACTTACTTTTAATATCAATGATTAAGACTTAATACATTATTCTCAGCACCTAATGCCAATTACTGAACTGCCATGGTACTGGATATATTCTCATGAAATGTATGGAAAAAGATCAAAAATTAATGCTAAAAACATTGACATGTATGGTACAGTTAAATTAGGACTAGAGCATGGTCAAGCGCTTACTAAATTTGAACTAGCTCAGGACAAATGCTATTTTTATGCAAAGTATTACAGTGATCTTGACTTGCTTTTGAATAAAGAGAAGTTTATTATAAAATAAATTGATAGAACAAATAGTTGGGAAAATCTATTCCAACCTATTGTATATAAGTTATAGCCAGACATATTTATAAACTTGTTTATGATATACGAGCAAGACTTTATAAATAATTTTCTTGATATAAAAATGCTTGATTATATGGTGGGAAGTAGTATTTATGTTTACAACTCAAGTTTCTCACTTTTATTTGAAAATTTAGACGATCGGATTAATCATAGTGTATTTGATTATAGAAGAGATTAACTAACTTTTTCGATTTCGAATGATAATTTGAAATTACATGGAAGTGGAGTAATTGAAAATGTAAAATAAAAATATGAAAAGAAATCCCCTTAAAATTTCTAATTTACAGCCATTATAAAGAATTTTCAAATAAATTTTACAATAGCGATGTCTGAGTTAAAGCTGCTAAGAAATGCTTATTTAATAGTCCAAAATATCACTTATGATATAAGCAGTATTGACATTTAATCTAATGATGATATAAAGATTGAAAACAATAGCATAATTTCTTAAATGCTTCGTGAAATTTTGAAGTCTAAGATTTAAACAAGCCTCAATAAAGTAATACTTGGTAACACTGTTTTTACAAAAGGATTTTATATGGAATAATTTCAATAAGTTATCGACTATTTTTTCAATTCCTACAAGTAAAGAGTCTACAATTTCGAATAAAAATATAACCAAAATAGTTTAAGTAATGATGATATCATTTTAATTGGCATTAATTTTGAAGACTATAAGAAACCCCACTTGAAACATGATCTAATATTATAGGATATTCAAAAGCCAGAAAATAAAAAATTGGAATTGATATTTTCAGGATTGTTTTGCAATGATAAAGAAATAATAAAGCATCTTGGAATTAGAGATTAAAAACTTCTCAATAAAAAATAAGAATTTTTCAACAACAAAGATACATTTTATTTTAGGAATGATAATCTTTTGACAACTCACAATCTCCTAAAGATATTACCTAATATTGCCTAGCAATTAGATGAACCTAAATTAGTTAGACTCACTTATTCCTATATGATTCCGGAAATAGAGATCAATAATCCATTCGGGATCTTTTTAGATGAAAATCAAACTTTGTTATTGAATTTACCATTCGATTTCAGAATTAGACATTAGAAGTAGCTAGGATATTGGTCTTAGCTTAGGAATTACAGAATAGTATTCTCCTTGAATATAAAATAGCAAGAAAAACAAAACAATAATTAGATCAACAATTTCAGCATCTAAGTTAAACTTAACCAACTTAATGTTACCCATTATGTAGAAGTGATAGATGATGAAATTAAATTACTAGAGGCTAAAGTTTCCAGTGCTCTTGAACTACTTAATGATCAACTCTCATAAAACAATAATGATTTTATGTTTTTTTTCAAAAAAATTACATAGATGGAAGACTTTGAGTTAGCTATCTAAGAGTAAAACGATTACTTTTAGCTCAATGTCTATGGTTAAAAATCAGTGATCTATAATAATGCTTTCATTAAGTAGCTAATTCAAAATTATTTCAAATTTATCTAGACAGAGACTAATCTTTCTAAATATGCAATCAAAAATCTCACAATTTCAAGCATTTTTGACTTTTCAGAAAGGATCAGTAAAATAGTAGAAAATAAAGAAGAGGGCTATGAAAGATTTGAAGAAGTCTGGAAGAATATAAACTAGATTTTTGGAGTATAACTAAAAGAATTAGTATTGAACGAGATTTTCAATGATTATTAATATACTCC